TTTTTTTTTTTTTTTCGATTTTTTTTTTCTTTTTTCTTTTCCCATACAGGGGGCTGGGGTCTCGGGTGCCGAACCCCGGAACCCCGGAACCCCGGCGGGGTCCCGGGCCGGGGGTCGACAACCCTGGTGACGAGGAATGACAAGTCTTCAATCCCGCGACAGATTTCTTCGATAGGATGAGCACAAATCGAACGAAATCTACCACTAAGTCATGAAAATGTACACTACTACGCTTGTGATTGTCTGTGAGAGTATTGATCCCGCTAAAGGCTTTACGGTGCTCCCATTGAAAGGATGGACTAAATCAAAAGAACCTACCGCTAAAACAAGGAAAGTATATTACTCTATGCATTCAATTCAAGGGATCCTTGGGTGTCAGGGATGCATACTGTAAGGAAGTCAAGGGTGATGAGAAAAAAGAGAGAACGTACGTAGTGTATGTTGGCGGTCTGCATTGGTGATGACGTCATGTACATTGATCTTCTACTTGCTGTGATGCAGTCGCGTGAACGTAGATAGGCATAGATAGGCTAAGTAGTGTGGGCTGGGCGCTGAGCGACAAACTGTAGGACCGACATTGGATGTTGTGTTAGTGTGACCATAGAATGTCGACATTGGCACGCGAGTTCATTGTATTGCCCATACTTGGATGATATCTTCAGTGCATTGTGTTACTTGCTTGGTACATGTCTATCTGGCAAATTCGTGAATTGCAATCCAAATTTTTGTCTATCACTCTCGCTCATGTTCCTTGCAGCCCCATGCACCTACCCACATTCATGGCCAGATACGGTGAGGAGAAGACACATGTAATGAATGAAGCTAAAAATATATGTGAGGGGACAAAGAGATAAATAAACAAACACAGTCAAACAGACAGAGAAACAAACAGACAAACACAATAAGAGAGACACACACAAACAAACAGGCAAGCACAGTCAAACAAACTAACGGAGGTAGATGAACGTACACATCTAGATAAACACGCAGAGAAAGAAACATGGAGATATACAGAAAAAAAAAGAGAAAAAAAAGAAGAGGAAAATAAGGTAGCGAGGGAGGTGAGGTTGACGATATGGGGGCATGTGCCTGACCCGACAATGGGCTACTAGGATCGACATCTTCACATGCTGCGGTTCGATTGCTGGCGCAACATTGTTAATTCGTAGGACACTAGTAAGTTGCGAGGTACTAATCCGGGCGCTCAGCGCCGAGTAAATATAAGGGTTCTGATACATATGTCGGTGGTTAGGAGGGTATGCTCTCATTGACATTCGGATATAGTCTTTTGGTTCTCCTGCGATGAAGTGTCGGTGCATTACTGTCTTCCGAATGACTAATTATGATGAAGGGACACTATTTGCGATTTTCAAAGTATGACGCACCCCGACTGACTGTATTGGCCTTAGGAGGAAACCTGTGTGCATTCATAATCAGTATTGACCATGATACATAACAATCCTATTGTAAAATTGTGGGTTACGAATGCTATCATCCTCTGCCTTTTGAGTTTGGATGCACAAAGCTTTGTAGGTATTGTCGGCGATAACGAGTGCATGTGGATCCCGGAAAGGGAAAAATGTTTCCTTTGCGAGGCATGCGTAGTTGGAGGCTCTCGTTACATCCAAGCACGCAGAGGAAGTACTGCATTCGCTATTCTCTTGATTCGCTTTCCTCTTGATTGACACTTGGATTGAGTTGTGGGCAGAAACGACCGGTGATCCCTTCGTACACACCGATGTTCGAAAAAGTGTGGTTATTTTGCGATCATGGGGTATGGAGCAAAACAAGTGTTAATTCACAACCAAAAGAGCGAGAAGGTGCAGCGGTCTAAGTTGGGTTTTGCAATGTCCTCGCATCTTGCCGTTGGAACTGACCTACATAGGTGAGTTTACCTGCTATTCCAACAACCAGACTTTGCAGCAACTCAGTAGTTGATCTCAAGTCCCAGGATTGTTCGGCGTTCTGGCAGGCTAATCGGTGAGATGTGCCTATATGCGCTTCAGTTATCCTTCTCTGTGGCTACCCGTCATAACCACTATCTGGCTGATTCTGCCAACAATCGTCGGCTCGTCACTAAGACTACTCCATGCACATCTGAGTATGAACACTCTGCTTTGAGAACTGCAAAAGGACTCCTTATATCTGATAAGGATCTAACAAGTGGCCTCACGGTGTCTGATCTGGGTCCCATGCCTCAAGGCACGAATATGATAATATAAAATTAGAAGGGACATTTATAATTATTATATTACTATTATTACTATTAACAATTATTACTAGCAATATTCACGTACGTGCATGTAAACTTGTCAGGCCAACATACCTGACCTTCTTAAACCTCCGGTCCCCCTGACGTCAAAAACCTAGGGGGTACTGGTAACGCCGTTTCACGACGGGTATCGGTAGTACAGTGTGGAAAATCTGGCGGGCCTCCGTACGAAATTTGCGACAAAAATCAGAAATAAACGGAATCAGCTCGGCGAATATTTCACCGTCAAAATGACTGTTTTTTTTTTTTTTTTTTTTTTTTTTCCTCATACTTATCACTGAAAGCATCTACGGGCCCTAAAATTTTCAGACATTTTGATGATTTTTTCTGAGCACAAAAAAATCGGCAAAGTTGCCGCTTACAAAATGGGGGGATTGGACCCGTCGGCCTCCGTCCGTACGGTCGCTGCCCCTCCGTACAACCCGGCTCTAACTCAGAGAGACTAGGGGTTTTCAGTGGCAGGGGGACCAGAGGTTTAATAAAGCAAAGCATTGTGATGGACCTAGCAAATGTTAAGGCAACATGCTAGCTGCCAACGCTCTGAATGTCATAGTGTACGGATTCAGGCCGAACAAACCGTGACTGTGGTATTCCTTAAGATAATCGTCAAGTTATCATTTGGAATCATTAGTACGTCCGACTGAGGAACTCATACTATAATAACGAATTTTCAAAAAGGTTTTCATACTCAACTATGTTTTCGGATTCTACTGAGTATCCTAAGTCAATATGTTGACTGATGGTCCTTACTGAGCGCATTTAATGAGAACGCCGTTGGACTTTGAAAATTGTCACAGGAAGGATGACCTTGCTGAGTTTTCCGTATCCGATTAATCATTCCATATTCTTATAAGCATGAGTTATTAGTCAATATACTTGTCCAAACATTTGTCGACTTGGGAGTAAGTGTGAATCAGAATAACACTTGTTTGCTTGAAGTCGTGGGCCGAACACTTACCCAAAACCATGAAAAATCAAGCAGCAACCAAATTTTGACCTTCTCTTGAGGATTTCAGTTAGTACTCCAGGAATGGAGTACCCAAAAGTTGGCTCAGCATACCAGCAGCAGTTGCGCTTCTCCACCTTGCAATCGAAAATAGCAAATAAATCGTCACGCTATGGCTGGTGATTATCGAATTTAGCTTAAATTAATAATGGGCCGTGACCGGTGTACAACGGTCTCTTTGCAGCACGAATGCGCCTTGACTTTCGTGGGACATGCTGCGAAGTTAGACCGTAGTCTGTTAAGCCTGGGTTGGATTTTTATCAAACATCAAACAGACTCTTGCCAACATATAACTTTGGCCTCTTGACCTTTGTCCTAACCTATCGAACACCCTGATATGAGATGACTGAACATGAAGGAAAACACCTTATTTGTTGTTCTACATTAAATGACAATGCTAGGAAGAAGCGGCAATTAGGTGAAAAAGAAAAGGTGAGAAAAAAAGTTGGAAGCAATGTCTGCCCACCCATCATTAAGGAAGAAATAAAGATAAAAAAAAAAAAAAAAAACACACACACACACACACACATTCCACGGCATCCCGTCTTTGCCGCACCCCCTAGACTCCTAGACCCAGCGGGCCCCCATGCATAGCCGCTCATGGCGGTCCACCCATCATTAAGGACGAAACTTGAATAAAGATAGGAAAAAAAAAAAATAATAATAAAAAAATTCCACGTCGTTCCGTCTTTGCCGCACC